TAGAAAGACAAATTCCTCTGGAGCAAAAAGGGCAGCAGTCTTCCCAAGATCTCTTTAACTGTCCACACCTGGATCTGTTCGGGATCTTCTAGAAATGAAAGGGAAATCATAACATTTTTGATCAGTAGCTTGGGATACCGTGGAAGGAAGCTGACGTTGGCAAAGCGTCAAAGACTGGTTCAGTGCTTGGCTTAAAGGGCTCAGAGGGTGGAAATGCAACAAAGTGCAGAGTCGCCCCCTTGTGGTAATCCAAAAGGCTCAACAGCACCCGGAGGTAACTCCTAGGAGGTGAGACCTGAACTGAGAACATAACCACCATGTGAAGCATATAAGCAAAAACTTGGCCGAGGAAGCAGTATGTGCAGAGGTTTAGGTTATGGAGAAAAGAAAACAGAGTAGGTGGCTGCATCATAAAGAGAGGTGGAGCATGGTATGAAATAAAGTTAAACTACAAATAGGAAATGACCAGATAACTGCAGGCTTAATAGGTAAGGAGTTTGGATTGTATCTAAGGTGCAAATCATTGAAAGGTTTTAAGCAACTAAATGACATATTCAGATTTTAGTTTCCAAAAAAATCATTCTTACTGCTGTGAGCTAGCATTGAACATGATGGGGCAAGAGAGGAAGCTCTAGTGATTATCTTGGTGCATTTATTTTTTGTGTGTCTGTATTTCTGTTATCTAGATTCCTAGAATGGAACTTTTTTGATCAAGAAGCAAGCACATACCTCCAGATACCTATTCAAATTATTTAAAAATGACCTCCTTGGAGAATCTTCTATGACCTCGATGTCTGGGTTTACTGTTCCCTGTTCCTTATTTATTGACACTTAATTTATATTTCTCTTGGCACTGATGATGGATATTATCCTGTGTTTGCTTACTTTTACAAAGCAAAAGTGAATTTTCATCTGTCCTTCCCATGAAGGTTGGACCTTTTCTTATTCCCCATCATATTCAGTGCCTAGGGCAGTGCCTGGCATCCTCTTTTAAAAAAAGAAATTCTCAGTTGCATAAATGCATGAATAAATAAATCTTCTTTATGCACAAATAAATCTTTATTAAAACAGAAATTCTCAAAATTTTTAAGATTTATTTATGCATACAAGACCTGGGGTGCAGGCCAGAGGTGTGGGGTGGTGAGAGGATTCACTAGAGATAGAATGGGGAGCAGAACAGACAGATTGAAATACACTGCTGAGGGGAGCAGCAGGTGAGACAGAAGGTCTGTTGTGCCATGTGGGTCAGCTCCCAGGCTGGGGATCGAACTCGTGCTGCAGTGGCTGCGGATAGCTTCATAGTGCTGAGACTTAACTATTTGCCCCACCAGGAAGGCCCTCTGTTATTTGAAAAGGTTTGAACTCAGGTTATTTCTCCCAAATTATTGCATTTGTAGCCTGCCTCTTGAATTGCTTTTCACTGTGATTTATCTTACTGGTATTTCTTAGATTCGTTATCAAATTCCAATTCTTCTATATGAAGTCTAATGAGTCAACATGAAAATTGCACTAATGTCATTCCATGACACGATTTGTTTTGCAGAAGCTTTCTGCTGTGGTATTGATGACTTTGGATATAGTCTCTAGGATAAAGCAGAAGACAATATATTCTTCCCTCTGGAAATATGTAAGGGAAACAAAAATCACTTATCACTTAGAGAAAAAATACCACTGCTATCATAAATTGAAAGATTCTACACCATAGGCTCTAATATGGAGGTTTAAAGAATGAAGCATTAATCCAGAAAATCATGGTAAAATAAATGTTAGCATTGAGACAAAATGCACAGCACATTCTATAGTAAAGATATAGAAAAATAACTGACCTGACCAAATTAATGACACTAATTCAAATGTGTGTTTTTGGAAAGTAGAGGTTAAAAATTAAGAAAAAGTGAAATAGGATGTGTAATAAAAAAACTGACAGTTAAACCAAGAGATTCAATGTCATGTAGTAAAAGGAACACTCAAGTTTTCTATCATAATACTATGATAAATATTTGATGTCTTAGATGAAATGCTGATTAATTTATTCTAAAATGGAGCAGGTAATATGGATACCAAATTTAGGATGAACATATAATCTAAATGATATGGGCCTAGATTGGGATAACAAAGGAAAGAATTTAGTATAGAAGCAAATTTGAAATGTAAAAAGGAAGAAATAAATAATTCTGACATTAATTATGGGGAGTTTTTACAAAGTGAGAATAAACTGATTTCAAGAAGGTAGGAACTAGTGACATTAATATTGGTAGTAATATAAGAACTAACAGTCTCACTAATAGTGATGACAGAAATTCTGAAGAAGGAAAAGAGGCTAATTAGGGAACATTGGTGATTTTATTATTTACCACGTTAAGTATAAAGTGAAGTGGGACATTCAAGTGGAGATAGACTTCAAGCAGGAGAAACAATGGGGAGAGAATGCAAAGAAGACATTTGTGCTGAAAAAATATAGCATGGAATTAATGACAGGGAAGAATAATTTGAAGATATCAGAATGCATGAAGTCTTGGAAATAAAAAATTAACAAGTAGAAAATAAGCCTTAAGAGTATCTGCATTGTGATGGGAGGCTTTATTTATAAGAATGTCTAGCTGCTTGGGGTTATAGCTCCATTTTTTCCCGTTATCTACCAATATGGTTCTTCCTACTTAGAAAATAACTTCTGATTAAAAAGGCTGAAGCCCTATGCTTGGTAAAGGACATGAGCTTGGGTACATATGGGTACATTTAGACATATGTTATTGCATAGTTTATACACAAAACATGCACCTACAAATTATGAGCAATTTAAAAGAACTTCAGGGGATATTTAACTATATGTGAATTTTCAAACGTCAGGTGTTAACTAACTAGAAATTAAAGATAGTTTAGGGTGCAAAGACAATGCAGTCATGGGCCAGGTCAGGTTCTCCTCCTTTAATGCCAGTTTATTCAATCAAGTGGAGGCCTGATAAGATACAACTGAAAAAGAAAAGGTGCCTTGAGAAACAAGAACTGTCATTAGGGAAGCCCTGGCTGACTACGTTTATATAACCCAGAAGCTCTCTCAATATAAGATCAGAATGAGTCTAGGCAGATTCCTTTCCAGCAGAGGAAAAAGGAAAAGCCATTATTGGCCCTATCATTACGTCAGTGCCTAGGCACCGGCTCCAATCTGGCAATCCAGACACAGGGTTAACTCAAAGTTCTAGTCTCCGAAGATGGGCAACATCTAGCAATCAGAGCCCTCCTTGTTAATTTAGAACACTTGTGAAACATTTTAAGTCACTTAAAGTGTATTCACATATGTCATCTCAAAGAATATCAATCAGCTGTTGGTCATAGCCCGCAGAAAATAGGTAATCAGTGCCACCGTTTTTTTTCTTTTCTTTTTTTTTTTTGGTGGGACCCTCGCTGGCGGCGGGGGAACGAACTGGCACTGCAGCCCAGCACTCAACTGCTGTGCCACCAGAGGGGGCCCAGTGCCACCGTTCTTTACAACAAACACTTCAGAAATTCACCAACAAAACAGATCTCTCCAGAGGAGGTGCATTTCACGTAAGCAAAGAACTAAATGTCTAGAGCCACCAAACTCCTAGGTCAGTTTCCTGCAATTCCCTGCCAAGGTCTAGAATGGACACCCCACCCCTCTTTGTTTGCTGGATTGATCCCACCACAGTCAAAGGTCCAAGAGCTCCAGGCTGTCTTCGTGACTCTGACTCCACAACCCAAAGGTGAGAGCTCAGACCGCTGACCTTTAAAAACTGGGATGCATTGCCAGGGCTCTGCCGGCCCTAACCCAGACACAGCAAAGGTCTGCAAATCCAGAGCTGGGACCCCAAGCCAAGGAAAAGTCCTCCCTGACCGATCTCTGTCTCCTGTCGGCTACCACCACTCCCCTGCCATCCCGGGTGGGGACAGTCGAGAGATGAGGCCCCTCCCAAAGTCCCATTGGGTGCTAGAGTTAGGGAACAGACTCATCACCTCCACTGGGAAATAAAGAACAGGGCTGCACATAACTATAAGAAAGAAAATATCAAAATCAACAAACAACTATGAACCAGAGACACTCTATGGGGGGTGGGGGGAGGGGAAAGGAGAGATTGGGGTCAAAATAAGGGGGTTGTAATTATATGGGGAATATAAAAATAAAATTTAAATTAAAAAAAAAAAAGAAAAAAAGAACAGGGCTGCACAACAACCCAGGACACCCAAGCCAAGAAGTACGCTGGCGCCCACAGCAGCCTGAACTACATTTCCCAGCACGCTCTGCAAAGCGAGCTCAGGAGATGTGCTGGGAGTTTACAGGCTTGAGTTGCTTGCTTTCTTAGTATTATTCTATCTTATAAGGGTATAATACTTTATTTAATCAGTTAGCTAGCCATTTCTCTGTGTTCTCTGTTATAATACATCTTGATTATACACCATAGAATACGCTCCCAGATTGCAAGCCATTTTAAGGTTTGATGTTTTCAGATTTACATTTTAATAGGATGTACCACATTGACTACCAACGGCGATATATGAGAGACTTTAAAACCTCTCTTGCAATTTTATTTAAAATCTTGATTTGGTTTTTAAAAAATCCTATCTTTATGCAAAGCACAGCAAAAATAATAATTTAGACTCTGAAAAATATACTGGGGACAGGAGGGGAGGGATAGGAGAAGGAAGGTAATAGGGCACTGTTACTGTAGTTTTGGTGCTGTGTGAGTGAAGTATGTGACATATGATGTATGATGTACTCCCCAAATTAGATAGTTATATAAACAGTAGACAACTCAGTACAACTGAGGAGTAAACTCTGTTTTACCAAACCCTTCAGGCAATTTTAAAGCACACTGAAGTCTGGGCATCATTGATTTAGACTTACCTCTATATGTCTATTTCCTTTCATTGCTCACCTCCAATAATTTTTAGACATAATTTCCTTGTTCATTGATGCTAACTTTTAATCACTTTTCACAGCACATGATAACTTTTAGCATTCATTTCTACTATTCAGTCAAATCTATATTCTGGATTGTTCCAGCCTGGCACAATTATGTGTTTTCCAAGAATGCAACTGTTTTATCCTTCTAAAAAGTAACAGGATTTATACAGTTCTGGACAGTGAATGTTCATTCTGTGTGGTATCAGATTTCCACTTGGTATACATTACTGCTGGAAATGACTTTCATATTGTATTTTATTCCCCTGAGCAGATACAGTTTACTTGAAAATGAGGGCACAAATCCATGAGTTGATCTCTACACACACACACACACACACACACACACACACACACTCCATTCTCAATATCTGTATGTTTTGATTCTCTATAATTAGAGAATTTAAAACCATGAGGAAGGCAGAAACTTGCATGAGAAATAGTTGCAGAGGTGACACTGAGTCACATAGTTATTTAGTGCCTATTGCTATGCTAGATTCATATCTAGGTGAAATATTTATTGAGCAAAATTGAACTTGACTAGACAAGTCTTACTCAAATGTTTATCCTGATGAACAAATGAGTTAATGTAGTAAGTGTACTGTGAAAATGTAAAAGGTAAAACATATACCAAACATTAATCTTACCTTATGTAACAAAGCCATTTTTTTGCCCTCATGTAAGTGTTTTTAGTGTAACAACATTTAAAAATAGTTCAGATGTATTTTTATCATGACTCAAAAGTAAAATAAAACATCTAGGTATGCAATGGAAAATATGTCTCCTGTGCCAACCCAAATTGTCTCACAGTACCTTACAATGCAGGTGTAAGAATGATTCTGAGACCATGTCTAGAAAGAGTTCACTAAGAACTCTTCAGTGTTCACTAAGAAAGAGTGTAGTGATTCATTAACTATTAGGCAAGAACAAGGAGTAGTGGCATTTGTTTCAGTGCATTTGAAAACCCTGATAGAAGCATTTGTGTCAGGCACTTGAAAATGAGCTAAAAATGTAGTGATTGTTCAGAAAATGACTTTCAAGCAGACAGAAGAACAGTACTAGGCTTTAGCTGTAATTCATTATTTTAATGAAAGAATGTGTTTGCTAGGAAAAATTTTCATGAATTCAATATCAAATTTAATACTACATACTCGAATTCATTATCATTCATGAATAGGCATAGAAACTTACCTTTTCAAACATCATAGAGTGGGCTCAGTGAAATTTTAGGGTTTGATTTATGAATATTAAAAGGATTTTAAATTGTGAAAAGAATGCATGTACATGCTAAAATAAGTCAAACAGTATTTACTAAATAGGAGGTCTCCCTCCCATTCTGGACCCCACTTCTAGTACTCCTATGTCTAACTGCTACTGCTATTAAATTTTTTCAGTATTTTTTTCAAACCAAGTTAGACACATACAAATATAGACAAAGGAGACAGGCAAACACACATATTTCTGTATACAAGAAGGAACATACTATTGATATATACATGGTTCAGCAAACTGTTTTTTCACTTAATATATATTAATATATCATTATTTCCTACCAACAATATGTATCCTGAGGTATTTCTTTGATTTTCTTTTAATTTTGTTAACATTTTTACATAAATTACAACCCTTTTATTAAATGTTATGCTGATGCAGAAGTAACAAAAACAAAGAGCTGAATGATAGTATCAAAGCTGAGACTCATCCAATAGCCATACACATTTACAAATGGCAATAAGCAGATGTGTAAATTCAATGCTTGCATGTGTGATTAATAAACAGTACCCAAGCAACTCAGGAATTATCAGCACATGTAATTTGTTTCTCTCCTGCGCTGATTATGCACCTTATTCACAGACTTTTAAAGGCCTGATATTTCAACCTGAACAAATAGATCATTTACATTAATTGAATATCATTAGAACACTTTCTATAAAAGGTTTTACATCACATTTAAACTCTCCATACACTCTTCCCACACTGCTTCCACGTAAAGATTCATTTTCAAATTATTTCATGTATAATGAGATGTGACTTATTATTAAAGACATCCGAATAGCCATTACATTCAGAACATTTCTGAGATTAAATAAAAACCTTCAGTTCAATTAAACTACTTCTCACATTAATTTCACTCATGAGATTTCACTGAATGAGTTTTCACATGCTTGGTTAGGGATGCATTTTGTTTGAAGGCTTTCCCACATTCACTGCACTCATAGGGTTTCTCTCCAGTGTGGGATCTCTGATGTATAACAAGTTGTGATTTTGCATTAAAGGCTTTTCCACATTCATTACATTCATAGGGTTTCTCCCCAGTATGAGTTCTCTGATGGACAATGAGATGGGACTTTTGGCTAAAGGCTTTTCCACATTCAATACATTCATAGGGTTTTTCCCCAGTATGAACTCTCTGATGCTGAGTTAGGCCTTCAATTTGTTTGAAGGCCTTACCACATTGATTACATTCAAAAGGACTTTCACCTGTATGAGTTCTCATGTGGTAAGTAAGAGACGAACTGTGTCCAAAGGCCTTTCCACATTCATTACATTTATAGGGTTTTTCCTTAGTATGAGTTCTTTGATGTATAATCAGGTGTGACTTCTTGCTGAAAGCTTTCCCGCATTCATTACATTCAAATGGTTTCTCACCTGTATGAATTCTCATATGTTTAGTAAGGGATGAGCTATACTTAAAGGCTTTTCCGCATTCATTACATTCATATGGTATTTCACCTGTATGAGTTCTCACATGTTCAGTAAGAGAAGAGTTATACCTAAAGGATTTCCCACACTCCTTACATTCATAGGGCTTCTCACCCGTATGAGATCTCACATGTTGAATAAGGTTTGAGCTGTGCCTGAAGGTCTTCCCACATTCGGTACACTTATAGGGTTTTTCCCCAGTGTGAACTCTTAGATGGTCCGTGAGGGCATGTTTGTGACTGTGGGCTTTGCCACATTGAATACATTCATATGGTTTTTCTCCAGTGTGAGTTCTCTGGTGTACAACGAGGTGTGACTTTTGACTAAAGGCTATGCCACACTCGTTACATTCGTACGGTTTCTCCCCAGTGTGAATTCTCTGGTGGTCAATGAGTCCTTGTTTGTGACTGAGAACCTTCCCGCATTCAATACATTCATAGGGTTTCACTTTAGCTTGAGTTTGATCACACTTCATAGGAGAGGAGTTATGGCTCGATGATTTCTCTTGTTTTTCTCCAGTTTGAATTCTGTCCCCCTTAGTATCAGATGAGCTATGATGAACCAATTTCTCATGTTTCCTGCCAGTTGTAGTTTTGTCTTTCTTTATATCAGATAAGCTATTGCTGAGTGATTTCTTGTGCTCTTTTGTTTTATCAGGTTTCTTTTTTGCACAGATTTTTTTATGACCAGGTAAATCTAAATTCTGTTTCAAACTCTTTCCTTGTGAATCAAATTTAAGTAGCTTTTTTTTTGAAGGGACATGTTTTGTACTCACATGTTTTTTCCCCAATGAACTATATTCATGGCCTCTCTTCTTAGTGACAGTTTTTTTCTTGAATGCAACTTCCCTACGGACTTTGTTTTGACATTTCTGGTGATTTTCTAGTTGGTCATTATCTTGTTGGACTTCTAGAAAGGAATTCAATGAGACATACTTGTAAATCTTTGTACTCTTGTGTTCAGGGGGAAAGTTTTGGTGCTGAATTCAAACTTAGTTATCCCATAGTGAATGAAATACCAGTACAAATCTCCCTATCCTCTTTACCTTGGGGTGAAAGGGGTATAGTAAAAACAGCAAAAAATAGTGATCAGACATAGCTTTGATTATTTATAAATATAACTTTGCAACCTGGGATAGAAGAAAAAAAAAACATAAAGCAATGAATAGGGAATAAAGTTAAATAAGCTTGTGATTGCATTAACAGTTGATGCTTTTTCAGGTATAAAATACTGTGATTTACAGAAGAAAAAAAAATATATATATATATATTTGGTCATTCAGATGACCAAAATATATTTCACTTTATCCACAGCTCATGATAGTCTTGGAATGTCTTAAGTGTAAGGAGTGGTAAAAGTTTCTCTTTTTATATTAATGAGGTGATTTTTGGGGAAATGCCTGAGGATGGGAGTTGCTTATCAGGGAAACCAACAAGACTAGAGGGCAGAACTGGTCTCCTGAGAGAGGAGAAGGGCTAGAGGTTGAATTAAATTGCCTATGACCATTGAGTTAGTCATCCATCTCAATGTAAAGATGTCTCCACAGAAGCCAAAAAGGAGAGGCCTTGAAGAGCTTCCAGGTTGGTAAATATGCAAATATTTGCGGAGAATGGTAATCCTGGAGAGAGTATAGAAGTTCCTTGCCTTTTCCTCATACCTTGCTCTCTTAAAAGTGGAGTAATGGAGAGTGTGAGGAAAAACAGCCATAAAGAAGGGTCAGTTAGACATCAGAGGGGTTGGTACCAAAGGTTTAGAGTCCTGGTGTTCACTTTTTTCCCAACCATAACCTGAGTGGTGTGGAAGACACCAGTATGTTACTATCTCCTGTGGAAAAATTATACCACCCAGCCCTGTTGCATGGTCTTTGAATCCTCCCTGTGGAAGGATTATATATTAATACCCCCTTTGATCTCAGAAACAAGCAGGGGATCTGCCAACAGAATGTGAGCAGAACAAGACCACTTCCAATCAGTGATTTTAAAAGTTATGATGTCAATCTACCCATTCATTCTTCTTTCCCTCTGTCATGAGACCAGAATTTACCACGTAGGGACTATTTGTTCATTATATGTAGATTGCCAAATGAGGATAATGTGGATTAGGGATGCAGTCTGAGTGAGACATAAATCTTTGTTATAAGTCACTAAGATTTTGGAACCAGTCCTTAATGGAGCATAACCTAGCCTAAGCTGACTGCTACAAGTGTTATATGCAAACTCCCGTAAGTAAGATTGACTTACAAGTGTAGTGAAGATCTTATCTTGTGGACAGGTTTCTTAGAAACTCTCATCTTTTGGACAGATTCACAGGTGGAATACTCATCAGAATATCAAGGTTAGAGAATCTTAGGAGATTGACCTCCTCTTCCTCTAGAAGATTCTGACAGTTTTCTACTGCTACTTTGCAGTTAAGAAAGAAATGTCTGAGATCTTTTGGAAGAATTTAAGAATAAATTATTCTCTGAAGAATTCCAAAGAATCTAGGAACTTACTTCCACTGGTTCCTATTTGCTTGGGTCTTGCTATCTCACTTGGACCACTTTGACCTTGACTCGACCTTTTCTTCTTCCCCAACCATGGATCTACTCCTTTTTCCAACTTGGAGATCATGTCTGGTTTGGGAGTTTCATATCCTGCCCATGAGATATGGTAGGAATTAAGTGTTAGAACAACAACCATGCTAGAAATCAAGCTCTAATATTTCAGAGACTGTAAAGAATACATTGCTTCTGAAATTTCATAATGCAGATGCCCATGAAACTTATCTGTGCTCTCCTTCCATTTTGGAGGCAAGGACACAAATTTCTAGCCTAGTACCCAAATGGAATTAAAACTTTTTGATCTGGGCCTCCCTGGTGGCGCAGGGTGTTGAGAGGCAACCTATGAGGCAATCTGCAGCCACTGCAGCACAGGTTCAATCCCCGGCTGGGCAGCTACTCACATGGTGCAGCAGACCTCTCCTGCCTTGCCTGCTACTCCCCTCATCAGTGTTTTCCAGTCAATCTGCCTATTCTCTTCCCCACTCTATCTCTGGTAATCCTCTCACCCCTCACACCTCTGTCCTGTACCCCAGTTCTTTTTCTTTTCTTTTCTTTTTTTTAAAGATTTATTTATTTATTTATTTATACAAGGACTGGGTACAGTCAGAAGCGCGGGAGGATGAGAGAACTCACCAGAGCCAGAGCGGGGAATAGAACAGGCAGACTGATGAAACACACTGCTGAGGGAAGCAGTGGGCGCGGCAGGAGAGGTCTGCGCACCATGTGGGACCCTCGCTGGCGGCCTTTGGATGGACCTGGCGCTGCAGAGGCTGCGGGCAGCTTCGCAGTCCAGCGCTCAACCACTGTGCCACCAGGGGAGGCCCGTACCCCAGTTCTTGTTTGCATAAATAAATAAATCTTTAAAAAAAACTCTTTGATCCATAAAAATCCCATAAAATCATAAAACCCATAAAAATCAAGATCAGACTATCAAAGACTTCAGAGAGAAAGAATGAACACATTTTTGATTTCTAAAGGAATCCTCCTTACCCATTGAGGCTAGGTTGCTGTAGTTCTCCAGCATCACATCCTTGTACAGGTTCTTTTGAGCAGGATCCAGTTGCTCCCACTCCTTCTGGGTAAAGGCCATAGTCACATCTTTGAACGTTACCGATCCCTGTAACAGCATGTTCCTGTTCAGTCTAATGTCATTCACATTAGTAAGTGATTTGGACAAAATAATAACAAATATTCTTACTGTGGCCATTCATTATTTGATGATGTATAATGATGTATATATATTCATTATTTATCATCTAGATATGATGTATATGCAACTTTGCAAATTTTTTGAGAAATAAGAATCATATTAAGAAACATCCCTGTTATGTACTGAATGTCTGTAGCCCCCCCAAAATCACTATCTTCCATAGTGATGGTAGTAGGATATAGGGCCTTTAGGAGGTAAACAAGATTAGGTGAGGTCATGTGGGTAAATTCTTATGACAAAATTAGTGCCCAAGAGTTATGGTAGAGCTTGCTTCCTTTCTCTATTCTTTCTGCCCAATAAAGATACAATGAGAAGTCTGCAACCGCCAACAGGACTCTCATCAGAACCTGAATGGTCTAGTACCCTGATCTTGGATTTTCAGCCTTTCAATGAGACATAAATTTCTTTCATAATAATCCACTCATTCTTGGCTTATTGCAGCAGACCCAAATTAAGACAGTGCCTATTATTTGTTTATTCAAGAGTATAAAAAAATCATACAAATATCAAATTAGAAAACTAATCAAGAAAGAATAAACTAAGCCAGTCTTCACCTTTTCTGCGATAATAATGCAGGCGAAAAGACTACAGAGCAGTTCATACACACTGTGTTCTTTGGGAGAAGAATTGAGACATTTGATTTTCATAACCAGTCAAAAAGTCACTTATGTTTGGAAGCAAAAGTAAGGTATGTTAGGCATGTAAGGATGCAGAAAAAAATACTCTATGTAATTTAGAAATAAAAAGAGGGAGAGGAGGAAGAGGAGAGGAAAAGGAATGATTTTTAAAAGAAGGTAAATTGGGCCCTCTCCGGTGGCACAGCGGGTTGAGTGCAGCGCTGTGAAGTTGTCCGCAACTCTGCAGCACGGGTTCGATTCCTGGCTGGCCAGGGAGATTCCCACATGGTGCGGCAGACCTCTCCTGTCTTGCCTGCTGCTCCCCTCAGCAGTGTATTTTGGTCCTTCTGCCTGTTCTGCTCCCCGTTCTGTCTCTGGTGAATTCTCTCACCCTCCTGCATCTCTGACTGTACCCCAGTTCTTGTATAAACAAATAAATCTTTAAAAAAGAAATAAATAAAAGAAGGTAAATTGGGGCTTTCCTGGTGGCTCACGTGGTTGGGTCTCAGAACTATGAAGCTATCTGGAGCACAAGTTTGATCCCTGAACAGGGAGCCAACCCACATGGCAAGGCCGACCTCTCCTGCATCATCCGCTACTCCCCTCAGCAGTGTATTTCAGTGGATCTGCCTGTTCTACACCCCACTCTGTCTCTGGTGAATCCTCTCACCCCCACCCCTGTGCCTCTGGCCTGCATCCCAGCTCTTGTATGCATAAATAAAATAAATCTTTTAAAAAAATAAAAGAAGGTAAATTGGATCAGAAAAAAAGATTTCAAGATTGGGAAACATTTAATAATATATGAGAGAGCTATGCATAATAAAACCAATAAAATGTCTAGTTGCATCTAAATATAACAATAATGTTCTCGTGGAATTGCATCAAAAAAGTATCCTTAAAAATCAAGAGGTGTAGTGTAAGAAAAGTTTCCAGGGTGGAAAAAGGAGAAGATCCATGGTTTTTGAGGAAGAGGAAAAAGTCTAGTCAAGGTCAGGTGGTCCAAGTGATATAACTGGTGAGGGGCTAGGGATAGGAGAGAAATTAAAGCATGTTAAAGTTCTTTTATTGGGCAGGTCAGAGGAGGATGACACAGCTATTGGGCAATTTTGATACCAGTAAACATACATCCAAACATTTGATGTTACCCCCTTATACCCCACCCCACCCCCGCCCACACACACATGCACACCAATCAATTAGCTACATATGTCACCAATCTCTACCTCGCAAATCTCTAGGCACTGACTCCTAATAACTCCATCATTGATGGTCACTGGTCTCCCAGTCACTTAGCCATGCAGCCTCCCTAACCACTGAGCCTGTGACTCCAAAATGTCTGATCCCAGCAAAGCTCCCAATCACATCAGCAACTATCTCTCCAATTACTGGGCCCCACAGACACTCCAACCACATATTCCCACACATTCCTCAACTGCCTCATTCACTAAAAACTTGAGCCCCAGCTTCCACCTCACCCCAGTTTCCTTATACTACCTCTACATCATGTAGAAGAGCCACTCCACACCCTGGCTATTTTCTCTCCTAACTGCAGCATTCTTTTTTCCTGCCCAAACACAGCCACCTACTCCATCACTCATCCGCTCCTTAGACCTTGCCACCCCTGCACCAGCTCCAAAATGTCTCCTGAAAACATGCTGCCCTCTGACCATCATTTCCTACACTGCCAGTTCACTCTCTCTTGCACATCCATTCCAATAATCCTACACACTCATGGAGCCTTCTGCTCCATTGATCCTGGTCACCTTTTCACAATATTCTGCCACCATTTAGCCTAATTTACTATCTTGCTTAGATTCTCTGTTCTACCACTATGAACACTAAATTGATAACCTTGCCTCTCTTCCCTATTTTACATTTCAACCCTTGGTCAAACCTTAGTCTCTTCTTAATCTCTGCCTGCAATTTTGCAGCTGAACATTGCAAGAGAAAAATTAAATTGCGCTGTTTGTATTCATTTCAGGTTTATAACCCATATCTCAAATGGGCATCTGATAGGTCAGCATCCTAACACTCACCCCATTCCTCTTTCCAAGATGATGATTTAAAACATCTCTTTCTCTCTGAATTTTCTACCCTGAATTCCTTTCCCACTCTCTGCTAAAATAAATGCAAACAGATGAGAAATATTTTACCTGTAACACAAGTCCACCAACCTGTTCCCAAACCTACATTGTCTTCCTTTCTGTTAAAATTGAAAGTGTCCCTTCTCTCACCTAAGGGCAGTTTCTCTCCTTGTGCTCTGGATCCCATCCTCAGCTGCCTTTTCAAGGCATTTACTCCTACAAGTTACCACTTTCTCTTTTGTGCCATCTCTGTTTCTCCCTTTTTTACTGGATCATTCCCACTGACAAAGTTGCCTTAATATTCATCTGAAGAAAACACTCTCTTGATTGCATGCCCCAGCCAATGTCAATTTCTCTGCTCCCTTCTGCCAACAAAATTCCTCATTAAGTGGTACCTATACCTGCTGTCTCTGCTTTGTTACCCCTTATTCTTTCAACCCTTAACAACAGGATTTTACCCCCATCACTCCCCTGACAGAGCTCTAATCAATAAAAATAAACACTGAGCTACATCTCGCCAAAATCAAATTTTCTGTAGTCACACTTCTGGAATTCACAAGAACATGACAGCTCCACTGTACTGAAAAGCATTCATCTTGAAGCTTCTTTCACACCAAGCTGGCAGAATTAGCCTCCTAAGTCACTGTTACCCTTCATCCTCCTCATTTCCTGTCCTAAACCAGACCTCTAAAATGTCAGACTGACCCTGGACTGTCCCTGGCCCCTTTCTCTTCCTCATTTTGCCTTCTCTCTCCAGGTGATGGCATCCACTCTTAAGGCTTCAAATACCACCTTTATGCTGATGCCTTTCAAAATATGGATTCCCTAACCCAGACCTCTTCTAAGTACTAGATTGATATATGTAATGACTACTCATCATCTCTACTTAGATGGATAATGGGAATCTTGACATGGCCAAAATAGAACTATGTTCTGGCTGTCATTTCCATCCACCTAATCTGTTCTCTAATACTAATCTTTCTCAGAAAGTAGAATTTCCATCTATCCAGTTTCTCCCGCCAAATCTTGATTCTCCTTTTCCCTAGGGTTCCATATCAATTCATTAGTAAGGCCTAATAGTTCATCTCCAGATGTATTATGAATCTGATTTCTTTTCACTTCTACCACCCAATTCTAAACCATCACCACCTGTTGCCTTTGATTATTGCAATAAAATCCTAACTGATGTCTCTGAACCTGAGACAGGGAAAATCCAATCTCTAGCCCTCACCAGGACCTATTATCACCTGTTCTCATAGACATCCCAACTTACCAATTTCCACAGATTTTCCAAATCTCTGATACACCACAAAGCACCCATTTCTGATCCCACAGCCTGTTCAGTGACTGTCATAATCTCCCCCATCACTGACACTGCAGTTTCTTCAAAACACGGATTTTCTTCAATGGGAGCAGCACTCACTGACCCCACAGACCCATCTGTCACTGACCCCACAGACCCATCTCCTCACCACTCCCCGGATCCCTCAGAACACAACCACCCCACAAAGGCCCTCCAGCGTCGACCCCACCAATTTCCCAAATCAACTATCTTCACGGAGTACTGTAACCCTCCAATCACTGATCCCCAATTAGACCATTTGTGACCACCCGACCGCCCCGCCCCACAGTCGCGCTCACCGCGGCGCTGCCCCCGGGCTCGGACGCAGCCATCTCCGGTGGACTCCCGGCCTCTGCGGCCATCCCCGCACCCCTCCTCCCGGCCGCGGCCTCTGGCTTTGTCAGGATCCGGTCACTGCCGGAGGCCGACATGGCGGCCCCCTGGAGCGCGGCCTCGGCGGGTCTAGAAGCAGCGATGGCGGCGCCCTTTCGTGTCACCGCGGGAGCGGCCATCTTGGCACAGGCGCTGCCGTACAGCGATGTGCGAGCACAGAGTGCGCGGCTGCGGGCAGCCAGCCTGGGGCTTCCTCCCTGGGTACCGGAGTGGTGAGATCCGAGCTGGGGAAAGCCGGGCTCAGTTTACTCATGCAGAGTGCCTCACTGTGCCTGACACCCCAACCCCGGAGGTTTCACTGCATGCATAGGGAATTTGGAGTTGCTTTTCCAAATCAATCAGTGCAACCAACTTGCCAGGAAACTGGGAATCGCAAAGCTAGAGCAGACTCCAGAAGTTAGGATCCGAGGAGAAACGGGAGTGTGAGAAAGGAGAAAAAGCCCGATTGGGCAGATACCCCTGTTTTATAGGGAGAGAAAGCTATTCTTTGAAATGAGGGGCGGCCTTTCATTTATAAGAACAAAGAGGAAAAAAATGAAGCCGCAGGTTAAATGAATACATCACTTCTCACCGAGAACCCAGGTTTGATGGAGACATTACATTTCAGTCAAATTGGAGCAGAAAGATTGGATATTTCAGGCAATTGGAGCAAAAAGAATTTCTCTGCGCTATTTCACATGTCAATATTACATTGTTGAATTTTTACTATGTGCAGACTAAGTTGCTGTGCTCTGCAAGGTAATAAGGAAAAAGTGGATCCTCAGATAGACGTAGGTTTTGATCATCCTGCTGGGGCAGCAGGCTGGCGAAGTTATCCCAAATATGTTGCTCCTTTGGATTTGCAGAGTCAAACATGCCGTTTGTCCTGGAATAAAGGACTAGTTACCCCTCAGCCAGCAGTGCTCTTCTTGTCCTCTCAATCTTATGTCTAATTGCAATTGTCTGCCTCTTCACTGAGCTGGCAAGACTCCTCAGTCAGCTATCCTTAGGACAGTTCCTGCCTGAACTGAATTTTTTTCCTAACTGACATTTTGTCCAACAACCCCCAATGGTATAGTTTCCCATTTATTCTCAAACAATCCCAACAGTGTTTTCCCTGGTCTTCCTGCATCAACTCTAGGGTCTAGCAAAGGATGTTGTAAATTATGTGATAAACAGAATGCTAACGTGGCTCCCATTATTTCTGCCCCTGCTGTTACACCCCTGTAAAAGGAACCTGTGGTGTTTATTAAGACATTTTCAAGTAATATATTTAATGTGATGTCACTGCCATGTTGACTCCAGTCAAAAGATGCCAAATCAATCGACTTTGAGTAAAAAAAATAGTAACAGGGTGGGCCAGACTCAATCAGGTGAGTACTTTAGAGAGCCTGGACCCTTTCTGAACTCAGAATTCTAACTGTAAGTGTTGTAGAGCAACCCCGATACAAAACGGGGTGCCGACTGTGGGTCCTCACCCGCGCTCTTAAAAGGACTTATCAATGCTCTACTGCAGGCACACAGGAAAGGTTAATAAAAGGTTTATTTACAAGGGAAGGGAAATGAGGAAATGTACAGCTCAGGGAGAAAAGTGTGAGACAAAGTTTTAAATGAGTCCTACCCGATCCACCGATCAGGAATCCCAAAATGGCACTCTGAGAGCTGGCCGCCAGCCAGGAGCCGTGAAGCCAGAAGGCGAGCAATAGGGAGCCCCCCAAGGCCCACGTGTTTTGTTTTTATATCCAACCTGGCTGCCCAACTCCACCCTCAGGTCCCAGCCACCCTCCCTTTGGTGGTGATGGGATTTGTCTTTCCCAATGTCTTGATGGCTTTAGTCTGGAGAGGGGGTGGGGTCCACAAAGCCTGTATGGGATTAACTCAGGACATCAGTTCCCCCTAACATAAGAAGACTTGTGGAGGTGACCAAGTGGAAGGACCTGAGAGTGATATTTGGGAGGCGATAGTGATTTTTGGTCTTTAAAAAGCAAGGTAACAAAGGCCTATAGCTGCAGCTGCAGGGTGGTGACTTCTGTTCACAACCTGAGGGAGTTTATAAGCAGATCTGTCTCTAGTAGGGCCTAGATTAATTAGCACATGACCCAGCCAACACCTTCATTTCAGCCTCTGAGATAACAAACTTGTGTTGTTTTAATCCAGTCAAGTTAGTGATAATCTTATCAGCAACAATAGAAAACTAAGGATTAAGCAAACATAGAAGGATAATTGCTGGATTGGTGTTCCTCTTTATCTGCTGGAAGCACAGCCCCTTTTCTGTAACAATGATAGAGCATCCTTTTTTTTTTTTTTTAAAGATTTATTTTTATTTATTTATACAAGCACTTGGTTCAGTCAGAAGCGCGGGAGGGTGAGAGAATTCACCAGAGCCAGAGCGGGGAGCAGAGCAGGCAGAGGGACCAAAGTACACTGCTGAGGGGAGCAGCGGGCGGCAGGAGAGGTCTGCACGCCATGTGGGACCCTCCTCTGGTGGCCGGGGAGCAGCCGGGGATCTAACTGGCGCCGCAGAGGTTGCGGGCAGTTTCGCAACCCAGCGCCCAACCGCTGCGCCACCGGGGAGGCCCCGATAGAGCATCCTTTGATCCTTGTCTTTCTGGGTGTGGCAGTTACTTCCCATCCTTTCCAGATATAATCCTGATCTTAATTAGGATATTGTAGTACTAATTAGGTGCAATATTTACATTAAAAAAATTGCTTTTAGTTCCCTCTCTGTCACAGCTAGTTCTGAGAGAATACAAGCATGTTTCCTCAAATCTAAACAAATTCCAACTTATCTTTAAATAAAATGCTAAAAATTGGGAGGGAAGAAGGAGCACAGGGGACTGAGGTGATGGTGCACAGGTGCATTGGTGAAGGAGACTCTATGGCGACCACCTGAGGGGGTGGGGGAAGCAAATATTGTTTAAAAATGAATAATGATGTAAAAAAATTTAAAAAAAAACCTAGTGGGGAAATCCAACAGCCCACCCCCCCCCAAAAAAAAAGGAAAGAAATAAACAGAAAGCAGATTGCTGGTTGTCAGGCCTGGGGTGACAGGTGACTGCTCCATGGATCAATTTCCTTTTGGGGTGATGGAAATGTTTTAGAGGCAGATGGAGTTGAATGTATATAATGCACTGAACTGTTCACCTTAAATGCTTAATTTTATGTTCTGTGAACTTCAATAAAAACCATCTGCATCAAAAAAAAATCCTTAATATTTAGTGATTGGCCAGTCATCCTGTGTGGCTTACTCTGTGTCCACAACATTGGGTCCCTTCCCTGTTGCTGTGGTAACACCATTGCTTTCACCCATCCACAGGTGCACCAGAAATCCTCCAGAAAAGGAAAAAAATTCACTGTCTGACATTAAAAAAAAAAAAAATTTCTCCCTGTGGCATTGCTAAGCAGTGAACCATCTAGTCTGTGAAGATGTAGAGAGAGAGAGAAAGAAAGAGAACTCTCTGGGGCCAAATGTCTCCTGTCAGGATACTCCTACCTGCCCAGGTATTACAAGACTATGGGGGTTAGTGAAGGAGACCTGCCTTTGTCTTTTAAAGTCTACCTCCAGGGGCCTCCCTGGTGGCACATTGGGTTAAGTCTCAGCACTATGAAGCAATCAAAGCTACTGCAGCACAAGTTCGACCCTGGCCAGGGAAGTGACCCACATAGCGCAGCAGACCTCTCCTGTCTCACCCACTGCTCCCCTTAACAGTGTATTTCAGTAGATCCGCCTGTTCTGCTCTTCACTCTGTCTCTGGTGAATCCTCTCACCCCCTGTACCTCTGGTCTACACCCCAACTCTTGTGTGCATCAAAAAATAAATCTTTTTTAAAAAATTTTTAAAAATTCTACCACCAGGTGAGTGGCTCACATGTGTGTCCCCCAGACCAGCAGCTTCTGCATCACCTGGGAACTTGTTCCAAATGCAAATCAGGGTCCACCCACATCCCCATGGTCAGCGCGCTGGGGCAGGACCAGGCTGCCTGTTTCAACTCTCTAGTGATTCCCAGGCAAGTGTAAGTTTGAGAAACAATGAGGAATGATGCTCAGGTAGAGGTGGGGATTGACTGCATTTAATGCAGGTGATAAGCATCCTAAGACCAAACTCCACAGTGAGCCATATTGATTAGTGTTCACTTAATTTCAACATAAAAATAACTTTTGTGTGCTTTAATATTGGAAAAACCTGCCTATTTACTAGTTTGTATAGATTTTATTATTTTTTAAATATTTATTTATTTATGGGCCTCCCCGGTGGCGCAGCTGTTGAGCGCTGGGTTGCGAAGCTGCCAGCAGCCTCTGCAGCGCCAGTTCGATCCCCAGCTGCTCCCCGGCCACTGGAGGAGGGTCCCATATGGCGCGCAGACCTCTCCTGCCGCCCGCTGCTCCCCTCAGCAGTGTACTTCGGTCCTTCTGTCTGCTCTGCTCCCCGCTCTGGCTCTGGTGAATTCTCTCACCCTCCCTAGCTTCTGACTGTACCCAGTGCTTGTATAAATATATAAATAAATAAACAAAGCAAAAAAAAAAAAAAGAGTATCTATCTTGGGGAGTAATTAAAAAAAAAACATTTATTTATTTATTTATTTATTTACTCAAGCACTGGATATAGTCAGAAGTGTGTAAGGGTGAGAGAATTCACCAGAGCCAGAGCGGGGAGCAGAACAGGCAGACCGATGAAGCACACTGCTGAGGGGAGCAGCGGATGCGGCAGAAGAGGTCTGCGCACCATGGGGACCCTCACAGGTGGCTGGGGATCCAACCGGCGCTGCAGAAGCTGTGGGCAGCTTTGCAACCCAGCGCTCAACCGCTGCGCCACCACGGGAGGCCCAATAAAGATTTTATCCTAAAAATATATTACCCATGGTCTGAATTTAAAAACTCACTTATGGGAAAAAATTGAAGTATTCTCAATTATTCCACCACTGAAATATTTTATTGTCAATACTTTCTTCTTATTTCTATTACTAAGAGATTATATTTTTAGGGCAGTTGAAATTCCACC